TACGTCCAGTATAAACCCTCCCTCTATATATACGTGTCCAGTATAAACCCTCCCTCTATATATACGTCCAGTATAAACCCTCCCTCTATGTATACGTCCAGTATAAACCCTCCCTCTATATATACGTCCAGTATAAACCCTCCCTCTATATATACGTCCAGTATAAACCCTCCCTCTATATATACGTCCAGTATAAACCCTCCCTCTATATATACGTCCAGTATAAACCCTCCCTCTATATATACGTCCAGTATAAACCCTCCCTCTATATATACGTCCAGTATAAACCCTCCCTCTATATATACGTCCAGTATAAACCCTCCCTCTATATATATGTATCCAGTATAAACCCTCCCTCTATATATACGTGTCCAGTATAAACCCTCCCTCTATATATACGTCCAGTATAAACCCTCCCTCTATATATACGTCCAGTATAAACCCTCCCTATATATACGTCCAGTATAAACCCTCCCTCTATATATACGTCCAGTATAAACCCTCCCTCTATATATACGTGTCCAGTATAAACCCTCCCTCTATATATACGTCCAGTATAAACCCTCCCTCTATATATACGTCCAGTATAAACCCTCCCTCTATATATACGTCCAGTATAAACCCTCCCTCTATATATACGTCCAGTATAAACCCTCCCTCTATATATACGTGTCCAGTATAAACCCTAACCCTCTATATATACGTGTCCAGTATAAACCCTCCCTCTATATATACGTCCAGTATAAACCCTCCCTCTATATATACGTCCAGTATAAACCCTCCCTCTATATATACGTCCAGTATAAACCCTCCCTCTATATATACGTCCAGTATAAACCCTCCCTCTATATATACGTCCAGTATAAACCCTCCCTCTATATATACGTGTCCAGTATAAACCCTCCCTCTATATATACGTCCAGTATAAACCCTCCCTCTATATATACGTCCAGTATAAACCCTCCCTCTATATATACGTCCAGTATAAACCCTCCCTCTATATATACCTCCAGTATAAACCCTCCCTCTATATATATGTCCAGTATAAACCCTCCCTCAATATATACGTGTCCAGTATAAACCCTCCCTCTATATATACGTGTCCAGTATAAACCCTCCCTCTATATATACGTCCAGTATAAACCCTCCCTCTATATATACGTCCAGTATAAACCCTCCCTCTATATATACGTCCAGTATAAACCCTCCCTCTATATATACGTCCAGTATAAACCCTCCCTCTATATATACGTCCAGTATAAACCCTCCCTCTATATATACGTCCAGTATAAACCCTCCCTCTCCTCTACCGGTTGTGATGCATTTAAAGCCCATGTTATTCTATTCTCCCTGTACATGTTATTAACTCTGGAGTCCCTCTTATCTGGAACCCATAAAGTCTACATGGCTCAATCAAAACACATCCTGCACCTCCCATGGGAACTGAACAGTTATGTACCGCAGAACCATTCAGATTAGACAATAATACATACTTATAAAGATTTGAATATAACATAATATTGAAAATTCCACCACAATGAGCATAACTCAGCGTTTCCATATAGCTAATCAAAATTGAAATCTTAGGGCACCAGGAGGACCCATTGGTTTTCAGGGTGAATCAGAGATATTTCTGCCATTGTCACGCTCATCAATGATAGGATCAGAACTTATGGTGAAATGCAGTATTTCGATGAATCCATATGTAGGAGATGTGTTGTTGCTTAACCCTTAATGCATGAACAGAACTTGCTTCATTGCTCAATAAAGCTGTCTATATTTTGATTATAGATTTTTTATCAGGACATTTTGAGTCACATTCAATCTTTTCACCATCACACAATTACACTTTTCAGCACCGTGAAATTAATCCTAATGTTCACCCAGTTTTCTTTACAGTAGTTAAATAATTCTGCACAATCAGGGAACTCCAATCGTTATGTGTAATGCAATTAATGGACATTTCTGTAGCGGTTCTAATCTTACCTTCTAAACTGTCAATTGCAAACTTTAAACGTTTAGTTTATCCATGAATTTGCTACAAAATACCTGCAACAACAACAACAATATAATGACTTTAATCTGCATCATCTTCATCCCAACACATAATCATTAAAAGCCCAATTCCAAAAATAAAACATTGTCTTTTTTTCAGTACATGGTGGGAATAGATGTTAAACATCATGAAGGTAATGTCGTAGGCCACTTGGTGTTAGAGATCTTTTAAAAAAGCTCTTTGTGTATGCCAGTGCAACTCCCTTCTGGCAATATATCCTACAGAACTAACCTGCGCCAAGACAAGTCATTAAAAAACCAAAGACATTCTTAACATTTATTAACGACAAGAAGCATTTGAAAGGGAAAACACATTAAAACATGTATTACTACGCTATTACTTCATTTATTAGAATATACCCCTTAGGGGTTCACAACTATATTATCCAGGGTCTCTGTTTACATGTTTCTGTTAATCTATATTAAATAGATTAGCAATAGGGATATACATTGAAATTCTGTTTTATGGCTAACTTCCAGCTTTTTCTTTCAATATTTTTTGTGATTAACATTCACAGATCGGGTTTGAATTCATTCCTGACATTCTGGTGAAATCAATAGCCGTCTCTGTGGACCATAAATCCCAGATCCTGCTGGATTTTCTGTAGGTTAGATCTTTTCCACACAGACGAGGCTTCAAATCAGCATCCTGACTTTACAGCCTGTGAGGTTGCAATAGAATCTGATCATCTTACCAGAAACAGAGATCACACACTCCTGACCCATTTGACCTTAGCACTGCCTGGAGTTTGCTAAACATTAGTCAAATGACATTGGCATGTTAGCTGGAATCCCTGCCATTGGTCAATTAAAATTGAGATCTTTGGCCAATGCATGCTGATGTTTTTTTTACATTGATAAGCGGAGGAATGTGTAGAAAAGTACATGACACATACCATAAGACAATGAGTTTGATCTGAAAACATTGAATTAAAATACTCAAGTGTTGTTACCCTCGTAAAGGTAGGTCAGAAGAATTGAAATTGAGAATTGCTAAATATTTTTCTTCTTGGTCAAAAAATTATCATCTGAGAAATTGTATTATGCAACAAGAGAAATTGTATTATGCAACTGTATTGTTTCTGCTTAAAATCACTAAGGGAAATAATAATTTTTTGACTGATTACCTTTAAATTATCTGGGCCCAATTAGCATACTGTAATGATTAAACAATATTATTACCACTGTGGTGAATTTGCTGTGTTAAACGCATTGGAATTCATAATAAAAGTTACATTAACATTTCGTTTCAAAGTGGAGGTCCTTCAAAAAGAATTCAGTTAGTGATAAATCAAAATGCCATAACAGAAGACCACTTATTTTAGATAAATAACATTTCCAGTAGGAGGTGCTGGCCAGCCTGTTGGCTTTTCTCACTGTAGCTAAAGACCTGACATATTTTCAAATGTGGAAAAGCATATATGCAACATTCCTATAGCATGTAGGCCTACAACATAATCCTGGGGTTGAAATTTCACGTACAAAATATTTCCCAATATCTTTACATTCAATGCATTTCACATCTCACTATAGGCAGATAAAGTACTCTGACCCGGGGGGATAGAGTGTAAAAAAATGCATCGTTTATTTTCTGGACGCACCCTCGGATCGTCCCATTTAAAAGACACCTAGTCCTTTCTAGGGATCTAACACATTCTTAAACATTCTGCCCGGGTTGAAGAGCAGCAGTGGGGATGCGTGCGTGCGTGTGGGCGGAACTTGGAGCGCACATAAAAAGGGACCGCGCCGTGCAGGATCCACGAATCCACTGTGATCTCCTGCTCAGGCGCATGCTGTGATGCGCGCATTTGGATACCATACGGCTCATCCACAGACACACACCGCAGCGTGCGTACACACGGGTTAAGTTATTTTCCCTGCTTGGATACTACTGACCTGAGCATTGGATATGTGCACGCGGGATGATGAGAACCCCTTTCCTCCCCGCAGAAGTAAGATAAAATAGGGTTTCGCATACATTGGATATACTCGTCTCATTCCATATGAAGAAGCCAAAAGTAAGTTCTCACCCACAACGGCACATGTTCATAACTGGTTGATGTCATTTTACGCGTTTTCAAGCAGCAGGCGAGAAGACATGCATGGTGTGAATTAGTATAGGCTATATTTCTTCAGGATATTGAGACAAGTCATGGGTCGGTTCCACACTGATATAAATGCATGGTGCATTTACCACCTAAATTGATGGCGAACACGTTAATTAACGCCCTGCCCATGGCTACATACAATACGTGATATATTATTTACTAGAACCCCGTGGTGCGTCTTTCTTTGGAACGGCTTTAGTTCCACTCCGAACGCACAACACCCATGCCATTGTTCAATTGTTCCTGTGCGGTGGAACAGAACACGGTCTTTGTAGCTGGGTGTCAAAATCACTCGTCCTTAATTTCTATTGCAATTATCAGCACGCGACCTGTACGTAGACCTGTTTGTAGGGCTTTTGCCGGCCCTCATATATGGTGCATGATATCTGAAGTAAGTGCGCGCGTGTGGAGTCGTGTCCAGTTATGCAGTGCACAGTCTTATCGCGTTTGGTCGTTTTGCATATTGGTAATATGCAGTCATAAACATTTGTTAATGCAGGTTTGCAACAATGTGCAATATTGCCCAGGTCTGAGGGTAGTTGGATAATGGAAAAAATGAAAGTTAAATATGTCAGCACGCATGCAACTGGTAAATATCTCAGCAACTGGTAAATTATTTAATTAATTTAAACACCAACAACACGATGTGCCCTCAAACGGATAAAAGATTTGCAAGGAGTTGATTGTTGGGGCACGTTTGGGGCAGATGTTTTATAAGGAACAGTGGCTACAGTTTTAAAACAGAAAGGTCCGAGTGAGAGGTACATAGTTAGTTATTTAACCATTATTTAACAAAATAGGACGGTTGAGATCTAATTCTTATTAGATGGTGACCTGCGGAGAAGATGGGATTTGAACCCAGGACATCATGCATGTAAAGCATGCGCCCTACCGCAGAGCTACCAACTGCTCCTGTGTCGGGTGGACAAGCCTTTCAATACACCTACAATTTAAACTAGTGTTGGTGGAATATGTCCAATATAATCTAAGTGTGCACGCCAGTTATCTGATAAGTAAGTACAATTCAACAATAAAAACCGTCTAAAACCGTACACCAAGTAGGCCGTATATATGTACATATGGGTATTGACTTGTGCATTTATTGGTATAGCCTATATAAATTACAAACAATTAAATGAAGGCCTATGCATATTATATATAGAATGCATATTACATTGCCACCTTGTACGCAAATTGATTCGACGTGCATGAAAATAAATGTTAATACTGATGTGTCGCAAAAATAATAATTCCCACGGCCATGCCAAGATGCGTAAAAGCCCTTTGGGTGGCTGTTGGCGCTCCAGCGCTCTAACCAAAATAAGGGTAAACTGTGCAGGTCCAGCATGTTCATACTTGACCCTAATTAACCTCCCGGGTTTACATTGAATAATATGCAATTTATCAAATATATATATTATATGAATATATGCAATATAGCAGTATAATGTGTTTCTGATTGGCATTTTCTCCCCGGGAAGTTCTGAGCTCTCAACTACCATGAAAGAACATTTAATGAAAGCAAATGTTTTCCGGGTTCATTGCCATGGCCAAATGCTTCCATCTTTACGGGGAAAATACAAACATAACACCAAAGGCATAGTTCCTACATGCCGGTATTTGATTGATTTATAGATTGTATTCACCCGTGGGCTTTTTCCTATACGCAAAGTTCATAAAAAAACATGAGAAATAAAAGATGTATGAGATGTACACACACTGGTTCATTAAAAAGACTTATTGAGAATATTGAAATCAGATTAGACCAATGCATTAAGCACAAGCAACATGGTTTGGACTACTGGAAAGAACAGTAACAGTTATAGATATTACATGCAGGGAGTGCGTCAATGGTTCCCCTGCTTGTAGTCGCCCTGCGGTTTATTTATTCCATATACCTTCTGTTTTGATCCTCTTAGTTCGATTGATTTCAACAAAATATTCTACACGTTACAGTTACGTTTTGTTGTGTTGCAGAATTTAAATTTGCAAATGCCAAACTATTTCAATACAGGACAAATCATTTCTACCACTGAAACTGTCCATGTTGTATTTTAACTTGACCCCGTTTCTCACTGTGGGAAAACATCCTGCCAAAACAGGAAATGTGAATCATTGTGTGTAATGAAAATTGTGGGAAAGTCCATTACGAACTTCAAACGATTTTTTAAACACGGAATATATCTTGAATTCTTAAACATTGTGTGTCTCAAACATTCTTCTAGCCAATGTTTTGAACAGTATTCACTCTTAGTAACTTACGGTCAATAGGAGACACAAAGTTAAGTCATTAGATGCATGTTATATTATTACATACATGCAATGTTGATGTTGATGTTATATTGAAAAACCGCACACAATGAGTTATTAGACGTGAAGTTTTTACTTAAAAATCTAAATCCAAAGACTACAAATAACATTTACACAACTATTGACAATTAGATTAGATTCAACTTTATTGTCATTGGACAGTATGAGTACAGCACAAGGAAATGCAGTGCAATGCAATTTGGCAAATACCTAATATTCTAGAGAAATAGTACAACATTTGCAGGGGTTTTTCCTTCTGTTGGCAAACCATTTCAAGGGAGAACTGGCTCCTTTTGGAATTAGTCTGTATTGACTCCAATGAACTACAACATTTTTCGGCAGATGTGTTTTTTTTTACATATATTGCATTGGGATTGCAATGCTAGTCCATTATAGTTTGTTAAATTACAGACAGAAATGTTGACATTTGCCGTTTAGCGTTGTTTTTGGCATTTCGGACATATAGAGGTTTAGCCAATCAGGTTATGTCTGATGATGTGAAAGCAGGATTCAATTAATTACTTATTAGGTCTGAACAATGTGTGTAATTCTACCCCAGCACAAAACTTTACACGTCCTCGCCATAAAAACAGGATGGTGTTTCATTCTAATATAGTTCGAATTACATGAAAGATACACAACTGTCAAAGGGCAATAATGACCGAATGCAAGGGCCGTTGGCAGTGTTTGTTGCCTCTCGTTTTATTAACACTCGTTTAATTTCATGCATACACAGACCCAAAACAAGAGCTGCATGGCGTACAAATGTATACCATACACTGTATAGTACTATACATAAAAGTCTGCCTGACAGTTGCCAAATGGAGAGCCAACTAACCGTACAGGCTACACACATACACCCTTGGTTTTTTTTATGTCAGTTATAAACTCTCTTTCCCAAATGCTTTAGTAGCGGAGTTTTCCCAGACTATAATGAGACCAGTGTACCAGTTGACTTCTTTTAGGGCTCTTAACCTCCATCCTCTGACATCAAACCGTGAGGCTCCTGGCTCCCCGGTTTCCGTGGAAGCCAGGGCCCCCTTGGGGGACCCGTCGAGACACCTGGGGTGCAGTAAGGGGTCAGAAGAGAAGCCCGGCGTGTTTACAAAGAGTTAGGGGTCCGTCGGAGAAAGTTAGAAAGGCAATGAAATGGGTTAGATTTATGGGCCCACGGGACCTCGGTTCAAAAGTTGTGCGGTGTCAAAAAAATAGGATGCCGTTTCGGACACGGCCAGAGTTTCCTTAGGTCCTGACTCCACATGCCTGAGACTGCTGGTCAAATGGATCAGACAGGGTAATCTGTAAGCAGCTTACATATGCTAATTCAACTTCTGGCCATGTGCCGCCAGGACCATTTTCGCTAGTTTTCGTTCATCCCGCACGGGCATAAGACGGGCGCTTCATTCAACTCTCGCCCGACTCGACATACTAATGAAGCCACCGTGACCAAGGGAAGCATTTGTTGTCAATTTGCGATAAGCCAAATCTTAAACTTGACCGACAGGCAGCATGCTTGTTAGAGCCTGGAGTGGTCTGACCCCGCGGACGGGCTCTAATATGCATCCATAGCGCTAGAGCCTTAAATACCTATGGTGGATGTTGTCGGTTCGGCTCGGTTGGCGGTTTCTCACATTCTGTCAACTCATCTCATGGGATCAGTGTTAATGGCTTCTGGCAGCTGTTACCATACCAAATCGATACTCAGGCAACCCTGTTGGCTGTTGGCAGTGAAATCACACGCAGGGATTAGAGAAAGTGGGAGACCCTGTCAACGCTTTCTGCGGCTCGTGTACCTGTGCAGACGGCCCAATCCACATCTCAGACTTGTTGCGTCAACGCGGCAGTGGCAGATATTCTGCGCCAGGGTTAGTCAGATAATTTCTCTGGCTCGTTGACTTATGAATTGGAGTTCTCTAACTTTGATCTCTCAATCTCATACTTTTACTACAATCATCTTGTGTTGTTGCGTAGCCTGGCTCTTGCTTATTTGTATGCAGAATGCACTGTAGTCTATGGAAGATGTGTCATCAACGAGACACCTTTAAATTAATCTGTAAACTCCGTCTCAGGAATTAACTGCTTTTCTTTACCTTTGTGATAAGCAAACCCATAAAAGACACATAGCCACTAAGTAATCTGTCGGCGTTAAAAGTGATAGCAGCTGAATGTATCCGCCCTGAATCATTGACTGCTGTATAAAGGCTAAGATTAGCCGTGTTAATCTGGAGGTGAAGGCAGTTTCAAGTGAGATGGATTTAAAGGAGTGGTTCTCAACTAGTTTTACATGGGCCCATATTTTATCAGCAACCTAATATTCCCATCAACCATTTTTGTTTGCCAAAATGCTAAATACATACTCCCTTCAGAAGGTCCCATGTGTAATCTGTGTTTCTATGTTGGGTGATGATGTGTAATCTGTTCAGCACGTGAAAGTTCATCTGTGGCCTGCGTGGGTACAAGAAAAACATGCAAAAAAATGCATGTGTCATACAACACATTTTGTGAGTCCGCTTTCTCTGAGGATTAGTCAGACCGGTGACACCGTGTGTCACGAACCGTGTAAGGTGTAGTGCAGTAAGCCATTTGCAGAGCCCAGGTAATCCGTTAACAAGGTTTATTACGGCACAAAGGCAACATAAAAACAAACAACGAACGGCGAAACAAAAACTAACTGGCTAATGAAAACAACAGTGCGCATCTAGCGTCTTACTCAATTCCATATAACAACGGTAGTCTATCAATACACTCACCTCAATATAACGTGGTGACATACAACAATGAACAGCAACCAGTGACATCTAGGCAATCCCTTTATAACCCAGTGATTATAAATCCCCAACAGCTGTAACCAACATAAACCAGGAAGTGAGCACCCGAAACCAGACAGTGCAGTACCCTAACTCACCACTCGTGACACCGTGGTTATAAAACAGTTAGAGAAGCACATGATAGACTTCAAAACATTGTTTTGTGCATGACAACTCCTGTGAATCGAACAGAAAGTATTATTGGTGATCAGGATTCCCGTTAAGGATTAGCGGAACATAGCAATTTTGGTTAAACTTTATTTAGATAGTAAATAGGAATATTCCCGTTTAAAAAAAAAAACTCACAACAAACAAAGTAAATGCCTGCTACGGTTGTGGCTAGGAGTTAAAATAAAAGTGCTAAAGTATGGAGATATAAAAAAAAGGTTTCTGTCAGTATGAGTTTAGTTTACATTTTATTGATAGTCTGTTAGTAGTCTGTAAGGCATTTACCAATAAACGAATCAAACATAGTGTTACTGCGGTTTTAGTGAAGGAGCCAGAGTCAATGCTAGCCAGACAATGACTTGTAAATCCTACTGGGTCCACTCTTCCTCAGTATTCAACGTGGGTCCCTGGCAGTGTTCAACACCAATACGGCTGAATTGGCTTCGTATACCTATTTGGGCAAAAACCCATTTTTTTCTTTCACAATTCTCATTTGAACAATTGCAGCCTTTTTTGGCATGTTGGACAACTCGTAACATTCCAGCACATTGTGATGCAGAGAATGTTGAGAAAATACTACCACATTACTTCTACACTACTACTACGAAAATACTACCACATTACTACT